TCTACATTCAGTAAAAACATTGATTGAAGTATTTGAAATTGTTTTACATTGTAAACACAATACTTAATTGTTATAGAATAATATATTTCGAAACAAAATTCTATAAAAAATGACTAATAGTCAACACTTTAAAATGCTTAGGTAAATCTTCAAAATTTTAAACTCGAAACTCGGAGAAGTCAAAAAGTGAGAAGAGTAGTTTTTTTTTTTTCGAAAAAAAAACATTGTTTAACGTAATAATTATGGCTTTTTTCAAGTTATTTATAATTTTCAAACTAGAATAATAACTACTTAAAGATAGATAACACTTTATTATGCACCACACAATACAAGTAAAGAAAACAAAATTCCTATACATAATATATCACTGAATTTGTATCAAATAATTATATTGTTATTCACTCGTTAAAAATGTTCTCAATTTCACAGAAAGACACATATGAAGCTATCCGCGGGGAAATCACAACTTTCGCGTGGTCGATAAAAAACATGGCCATTTTATTGGGCCTCAGTCTGGAATGTAAAAAAATGTATATAGCTTTAGAAGAGATACAAGTATTTTGTGCCATGAGGGCAGCTCAAACATGTTCGTTCAAGTAAGTTGAAACCTAATCACCTTGATGGAGCACATCTATACTAACGGTCTGGTCCGATTTGAAAAATTCTTTTTGGATAGGCCATTTATCGAGGAAGGCTTATATTATATTATATTTTTTCTTTCCCAGGTAAAAATCTATTTAAGATTGTCCAGCGCCAAAACAGATCTGTGACCAAATTCAGCGCATGCGGCTGGTTCGATATTGATGCGGCTTTCCCATTGAATTTTCTTAAATGTATTATGACTTACATCCTTGTGTTATTTCAGTTTATTATTTTAAAATAAACTTGTTATATGATTACAAAATTTATTACTCATTCTCTTATCTGATCGCTACCCTTCATAAACTTCACATACATTCAATCATCTAATCAATATAAAATGAGTATGTGACTGTAAAATATTAGGTACTTAAGTACTATTGTTTTAGCTAATAACACTCAGGAATATTGTTGTAACTACCTACTTCCAGAAATTGCCACCTAAAAACTTTACCTCTTTATTAATATTACGGGACTATTCCCACCTCTCGTTCCCACCGCTACAACTCCTGTGTGGCCAGGATCTACAGCTTGACCGCCAATAAAAACCCAACCAGTGAAGGTGAAGTTTGTCCCGAGGGAAAATTAAACAGTCATTAGACCCGCAAGGAAATTTAGCAGAAGAACTGAGTTCGAAGTTAAGACTTAAGATTCGACTTCCCCTCCAGTGCTAGGCGAATGATAGTGACAAAACAAGGGTTTAAGTAGGTATGGAGTAATGGAGATCTATCATGTGACCTAGTCTATTACCTACCTGCCAATAATATTTTTCACAATATTTATTAAAAGTATGATTACGAATATCTAACTAGTTTTTGTTTGTAAGTGCGAAAGCTCACAATTTTCTAGAATATTTTAGTACGTTTTTCTTTTCATCTTATTCATTCCTTTTATTTTACATTTTTCTTTCAATTTTCCAGATTTTTGACGGACACCCAATTTATTTTTCTCATTAAGTACAAAGGTTTTTCAGGTACACAAATCGGCCTGTTTTGTTTACCACACTACATCATTGAAAGCTATACCACAGAATAATAATAAGTACTACGTACAGAAGGTTTACTTCGCGAAGGTATTTATGATAANGATGCGCAAGCGGAGCTTACACCTGGGCAAGGGTAAGCTCCGCTTGCGCATCAGAGGGTCGTGCGGACTAAATTGCCTGACGATGATGATCTTCTCACTTTTCATAGCTTTTTTCAAAGAATATTAGCAATTAGCAAGAAGTTTAACAGTTCAAGTAGGTACTAAATAAATATGTACGCCTTATCATTATCGATTTTGCACAGTACATAAGTTAACGTACCTATGACCTGATTTGAATTTTTTTTTAAATACAACATTAATTGAACACAACACTATTAAATCGGAGCACATAACCACTAATCATTGTAGACATTTAATATCTTAAGTCAAATTCAATCCTATTGAATAAGAAATAATATTAGCAAAAGTAATTTTCTTCATTCAAAATTTATGAGACAAGCATAACACATTGTTAAATTGTCTTTAACCCTACTTCGGTAGTCTGGTAAAAAGTTGTTGTTTGTCAATGATTCATTCAACAAATTGCTGGATTATTTTTAGCTTGTTTATGCTAAAGTGGTTTTAGTAGGCATCTTTTACGTCCAGCTAAAGTGCAACTGTGTGGGTGTACCCTGTCCATATAAGTTACTAGCTGTGCCCGCGACTTCGTACGCGTGAAAATAGTTTGAATAATATATTTCGTTTTTGCAACACTTTTCTTTACTGCTCCGCCCCTATTGGCTGTATGGTGATGTTATGTAGCCGAAAGCCTTCCTCGATAAATGGGCAATATCCTGTTGTAACTAAGCTTTAAGTTTACTAAGGTACCTGCATGCCAAATTTCAAGCGTCTAACTTAAGCGGTTTAGATTTTTCATACAAAAGGATTTTCCCGCTAATTCCCGTTCCCGTGGTAATTCCTAAGTATCCTATAACCTGCCCAGGAGTATGAAGAATAATTGTACCAAGTTTCGTTAAAATCCGTCGAGTAGTTTTTGTTTCTATAAGGAACATACAGACAGACAGACAGACAGACAGACAAAAATTTTACTGATTGCATTTTTGGCATCAGTATCGATCACTAATCACCGCCTGATAGTTATTTTGAAAATATATTTCATGTACAGAATTGACCTCTCTACAGATTTATTATAAGTATAGAAGATGAAGTTGGTTTCAACCCACAGTATTTAAATTATTTCATGGCTTGGCATGTTCTGGTAAAATGTGTGGTATACATATACCTATTGTTTGTTCAACATATGTTTTCTGTAGTCGCGCAGAAATTACGTGAACTCATTTGTACAGCCGCAAACTAAACTATTTTTTTTTTGTTTAAAAATCGCACCTATTACAAGTATTTACGGTTCAGGTGTTTAGCTTGGTGTACCGACGACCGCACAATGTCTAATTATACACAAACGACGCCCTTGTCATAGTTTACAAGATAATTCTATTTTGTCACTTCCCCATTCCAATATTTTATCAAAATACGAGTAGCTTTTTTTCGCAATGGTATTGAATGGTATTGACCTAATTTGTTAACTCGTTGGGCGCCATGGAAAACTGTAACTAACGTCGCCCGTATTCACAAACATTACTATGAGTTCTCACAGTGCGCGTGGACGCACAACACACATGAACCAATCACAGAGCTCTATTCAACGCTGTGCGTTCGATTTTCTGCTCCAATTAATTATACAAGCATCGTCAGCGAATACGGACGTTATTTACTTTTGTAAATTGCAGGCAATTAACATCTAATCGGTTAATTAGATCTAATTGTTGTGACGTTTGTACAAATTGCAAACGGTTGTAGCATCATCGCATCCTGATGTTATTGCCGTGTATATTGTTATGTAATTATTGCGTGACCGTTTGCGATTTGAACGCTATTGACCTTAGTTAATACGCTCGGTGTGATTCGTTCGTGATATATTGTGATATATTTTTAGAATGCATTTAACATACAGTTATTAAATTAACTCTCTAAATACTGTCTTCGCTAATGTAATCTAGAAATTATGTAACGAAACGGTCAATAAAAATGTTACGTCCATCATCCATTTCTTGACGAACTAAGCTTAGCTTATTTTTTGACTACGAATAAAAAACAGATACACAAGAATAACATACATACATAATACATAAACGTCCATTACTTCGAGTGCTCGTAATTAATACCTACGTTAACATTAATTAAATGACTTGCCGCATTATTGGAGCCGGCAACCGCAGAAAAATAAGGTTTACTATTTACTTTGCGATATTATATTGGCGCGGACTATACCTGTAGGTTTGATTCTACTATGATTATGGTGTGATGACGCGTGGAGCCTATGACGTCATTTTCGCCAATTTTTTTGACGATTGTTGGCTCGGAAAGTTTTTAAGAGCCTATAACGTCATCGAACACATACCTACCTCGCTCTTGTTATATGTCTGCAAGCGAGACAGAAAGCACTTGTCAGTTTGAATACGCAAGACGTCAGCGCAGACAGCGTGTACAGATAAAATCTTTGCTTGTTTTAATGGCCTCAAGTCTCGTTGAGCGACTTAAGTGTTGCAGACTCACTTATCCGCACTTACGCCCGTATTCACAAACATTACTATGAGGTCTCACAGTGTGCGCGGACGCACAGGGTGTCACACGAACCAATCACAGAGCTCTATACAATGCTGTGCGTTCGATTTGCTGCTTCACTTAAGCAAGGGTCGTTTGTGAATACGGGCGTTAAGTGCATTATAGGACTAACATTTCAAGCATATAGCAGCTAGACTTTTGATTGTATTTTAATGTTTAGGCACTTCATAGGACAATAAAATATGCGTGAGATTGAATCTAGTTTCTCACAGGTGGTCATTAGTGTGTGGGGAAATCATATTTATTACAGTCCAACGTATAATTTCAACTGTCCGCTAATTCGTACGCGAAGCATTTTTCAGCCAGTTGTCGAGTCGACAAGGACTTCTAATTATTATGGAAATAAGTCAAGTATACGGGTCAAGGATCTTCATTGGTAAAAGCATTTAAATATACCCCACGTTTTAAGTTAATGGGCTGTCAAACAATGTAAATTAGGGTATGTTCCGTTATAGCACTGCGAGCACTGCTCAGCGTTCCATACCCACTAGCGAGAGCAATGAGCAGTAATCGCAGCAGTATAATTACTACATATTAAAAAACAATGTCGCTTCCCTGTCTGTCTGTCTCTATGTATGCTTAGATAGTTATAAAACTACGCAACGGATTTCGATGCGATTTTTTTAATAGACAGAGTGATTATTGATTGAAATTGAAAAAATTTATTGTCAGACCGGGGTCCATAATCGTGTTAGTAACAATTTTCACTTAGCCTATGTTAGTAAGATACAAATAATGAAATATGAAGCCGCTTACATAGCACTGGAGACGTGCAAGCTAAGCCAGCGCCCCAGCAGCGGCGAGTCCCACCTGTCAGCCAATGCCCTCAGGATGCCATTTGTACTGCCGCGGAGACGCTCTAGGAGCGATGCGCTCCGCTTCCGAATTATCGCGTGGAAGCCGTCGGTGTGCGCTTCCGCAAACATGGTTGACGCGCTGCAGAACCGCGGCAGGCCAAGTAGCACCCTGAACGCATTGTTGTACTGCACACGCAGTGCGCCGTAAGCGCGCTGGGTAAAGCTGACCCATAGGCTGCACGTGTAAAGAGACTGGCAGTAAGCTTTAAAAAGCGTGATTTTTACTTCATCCTTACAACGCGCAAACCTACGTGCCAACATATTACAACGCACTGACAGCGCCCTGCGCTCCCTTTCTATGTCTACATTATCCTTTAAGTCATCTGTAACCCAGTGACCAAGGTATTTAAATGAGTTAACCCGTTTCAGAGGCATACCACAAAGTGTTAAGTGCGGAACTGATGAGTATGTTTTAGTCCGCGATTTGAAGATCATGAACTCACTCTTCGACACATTATATTTGAGTCCATGTGCCATCGCATACTCCTCGCATATCTTAAGCAGTTTACGCATAGCTGCAATCGACGGGGTCAGCAGCATAATTATATAATTATCAAAATTTTGAAAATTACTTGAAAAAATCGAACTGCCTAATATGGGAATCGAACCCACAACAATATTTCTGTTGGATGTTAAGGTTAAGACCCAACATTGATGAAACAAATGCTGGCCGTCAGCGTATTACACTTGAAAATTTCGACGGGTTCATCCAGTGTAATTCCATCTTAGCTCAGATGGAAGAGCAGTCACCCGGCCAGCGAAAGGTCGTGGGTTCGATTCCCACCTTAGGCAGTTTAATTTTTTCAATTTATTTTAAAAATATTTAGATCGAGAGGCAACTCTTCGCCAGAAAAAAAAACTAAATAATTGTCATTTTTGTTTTCAGTGGACTTCAACTGCTTAGTGTATGGTGCAGCAAATTCCATACCAGTTCTCACAATGATGTTGTTCACATCCCAAGACACGATCTTGGATCGGCAGATGACGTCAACAGAAGGGTCTTTGTACATAAGTTTGGCAAATATTGGCGCAATAATAGGCACGCCACTGGCAGGGTACCTAGTCGACTATTTAGGGCGAAAGAGGAGTATGATCGTCTGTGTGTTTATGCCACTGGTGAGTAGACAGTTTAAATAATAAGTCGTTGTAAATCATCATCATCATTTTTCAGCCACAGAATACATAGGCTACCCCCACTGATGTATCCTCACTGTGCATCTTCTATCGTATGTATCACGGGGAGTGCTCCGAAGAATTGTCCGGACTTATTCCTGCCGCCACTGTTCACCACCGATCTACCCGACAGCACTTCCATCCCCATCACTTAGATGGTTGGCAGTCCACAACAGTACGTTTCTCTAGAAACTTCCTTCCCCGTACAACCAAACTGTAGAATGGACTGTCGTCTGCGGTGTTTCCGGACGGATACAACCTGCAAGCTTTCAAGAAGAGAGCGTATCTTCACCTTAAAGGCCGGCAACGCACCTGTAACGCCCCTGGGACTGCGGGTGTCTACGGGCGACGGTAATCACTTACCATCAGGTGATCCGTCTGCTCGTTTGCCTCCTGTCACATAAAAAAAACTGATTTCCAGATTGAGTGGTGGGTAGCGGCCTGCATCCAGCTCCTTCTTGCTTAAACTTGCCTCTTTAATTGTAAAGGAGACTGATGATTTATTGATTATGGGGTTCAATACTAACGTTAAACGAATACATTCACTCTTTAAATGATGTAGATTGTAGGCCAATGAAGGCGACTAAAAATGATCTCGCGTCCTATAGCAAATACAACACTTTAAGCACGAGTAATCGTAATCGTAGTGATTTAAATACTGTGTAAGGACTTTATACAACGGTGGTTACAGTTTACAAAGTAAAACCAATTTTGAGATCAACTATATACAGCTCAGTGCCTTCGTCACCGTGGGCCACGGCATATTATTATGCTGAGTGGGGTCCCGTTGCAGTGGGCATCTTGTTGGTGAATGGTTGGCACTGCTCAGTTTACTATTGTTTTTATTTTTTTTTCTTCTTCCATTATTATGTGCCACTGTCATGTCTATGTAATTGCCTGTATTTATGTGATGACCTTTGTAATAAAAATGTATCTTTCTTTCTTTTCTTTCTGTCTTTCTATTACATACGTTTCATTTGATAAATTACCAAAGAGTATTCACGTGTTTTAAATAATTTGATTGTTTGATGCACCACTTGTTTAATACACTGATTGATTTCTTTCAGATAAGCTGGTCGTTGTTCGTCTTCTCCAATAAAGTTGAAGTGCTCCTAGCATCAACGTTTATAGTAGGCATGGGTGGAGGCATGTTCGTCATTATTCCAGCATACATCTGTGAATTCAGTCAAGACTCAATCAGAGGCACCTTAGCCTCTGGGACTTTGATCTTCATGATATTAGGAATACTTATTTCGATTGTCCTTTCGGAGTTCATGAGCTACAAAACAATTACGTATATTGGGCTGACAGCTTCTACGATAGGGGTAGCGTTGTTGAGCGTTTTGAAAGAATCGCCGACAATGCTGTTGAAGAGAGGACTAGATGATGTAAGTTGATGATTTTTTACTGTCATTGTTATTGTCATCATCGTCATTTTAGCCATAGGACGTCCACTGCTGAACCTCCCCCAATGATTTCTACCACCCGGTAGGTAGCGGTATGCATCCAGACTAGACATCTGCAGCGTTGTCATTGTAAACGAGGGAAATTTTTGTAGTATTTGGCGACAATATTTTGAAAATATTTTGGTTACTTACTCGTAAATACTATAAAGAGGTAATGTTGTTGCATTAGGTCCGGTTTCCACCAAAGCGGAAAACACCAATCAGAAATCGACACATGCCTCATCCGCTCGGCTTCGGTTCGCAAATCCGATAAAAAAAAATCAGAATCAAAAATATTTATTCAGTTTAGACCACAAGTGGTACTTATCTATGTCAAAATATAGTGAATAATAAAAAAGTAAAGGCAGCCCTTATGGGGCACTTTACATGTCTCCTTATCTTTTGGGCCCTACCAGCGCTTCGAGACAAACATATGGCAAGTGCTGAGAAGAAACGCCGGAACAAACTCAGTCGATTATCATTCAAAGATTTTTTGCTTTGCGAGCTTTAAGATGCGACGTGCTTTTTAAACACTTTAAGATTCTCATTAAAACCATGGTTTTCAGGAAGCGGCTAAAGCGATGGCTTTTTATAGAAACTCAAAACCAGATTCTAAGATAGTTGTACAAGAAATTGAAAAAGCGAAACAGGCGTTAGCTCCTCAGATTGAAGGTAAGGTCACTTTTTGACAGCTTTGTAAATTAGTGTTTAGAAGTACGCACCATAACCGTATGATCCTGAGTTCAAATATTGTCTTATGGGTCTTATACAAGTAGGTATGTTACAGGTAGTAACATCAGGTTAAATACTTATTTTTGTTGTAAATGGAAATATTCGTAATAATACTGCTTTTCATGAACTTTCAAGAAAAACTATAACGGTTAAGATACATTACTTAGTTTAAGAGTAATAGTCAATTGAGTCACGTATTATAAAAAAATCTTTAGAAGAAAATATGAAAAGTGACTTTAGATGAACGACGGACAAAATAAATACGGAACCCTACACTGCGCGTGACACGACACGCACTTGGCCATTTTTTTTAAATTACTGGCGAGTAAAAAGACCTTACTCTACGATGGCGCCTCCTGAACAGAGCTAAAAATATACCTTACTATTGATAATGCAGTTGCCTTTTATAATTAACACTAGAGTACACGCGTGGCCTACTAGAGTAGACCAGGGTAACATTTTATGCTATAACTTTTTAAGAACTTGCGCCAGAGAGCTGGCATTCCAGGAAAGCCTCGTTGACTAAATTGTCAATAAGCCAGTAAAGCTTGGGTCGCTAGGCGTCTACGCACTTTTCTAAAATTGGCCGTCAAAACTGCGAGTCTACTCAAAAGCCCGAAGTCACTCACGAAAAAAATTATGGAAGACTTGCAAAAAATGGATTTACCCCATGTACCAGGCAGTAGAAAGTCTTGAATACTATAACAGATAAAAAACAAATTATATTTTTTCAGTAATTTTTTTTTTGCTAGCATGGATCTCAGAGTGCAATTTTGGTCCAAAAAATTTACAACGTTTTAATCTGTTTATAATGTTTTATCCCAAATAGTTATACAAAGAAACTTTGATTATAAAAGAACTATAATAAACACTTTTATCATTTACATGGTAATTTTACTCATAAATTGTTTACAAACTGATTTACAGTGATTTTAAATTGGCTTACCAGAGTAGGCCGCGCGTGTATTGGTGTAAAAAAAGGGGCGCGTGTACTGCAGTGTTAAAGTCATGATTGCATGTATGCAGTCCCACTTTAATTATTGCCGCAGTGCGTGCATCAATGGCGCACGCACGTGCTGTTAAATAATCTGACCTGCATCGTGGCAGTATCAATTTATCAGCAACTCTACGTCACGTTGATAAACCATGCTCAGTTGTATGCATTAGAATTTATTTTTATGATCATGAGATCACGGTAGCAACTACATCAGTACCTGTAATCAGTAGTGTAATTGGTACTACCGTTCTATTCATAAATAAGTAAATAAAATAAAAAAATCTGAAAAGTTTTCAGATGTTCTGCCATAGCTGCATGGGTTTGTCTTGGCCAATGTAGCACCGTGAATCAAATAAACAAGATAACATATTTATTTGCGTATTTTTTTAACTTTATTGTTCAAGATATTTAACTTTATTGTTCAAGATAGTTATTAATGCTAAATTGACTTATTAAATAATACTTCAAAATGGGGTTGACCCGGGGGGGACTGTGGTAGTGAAGGCTTTGTCCGGAATCTCACAATTCCTTCCCACTTAAGGCGAATGACGGAGCACCGGGGTCTTTTTAGTGGATATGCCTTGTCCTTCTGACTTGGTGAGCCCCACATAACCTCGTGTCCCCGCAGTATAAGAAGAAGAGAGGTAGGTATGGAATTCAATGCATGTTTCGTCGAAAAAAAAAGGGTTATAGAAAACAAAACATCATTATGGTCTGAGAGATAACCCAAATTCAATACTTTTTGTTACAACGACAATATTGGAAACAATGCAAAGAGAAGAATTTTTTTGAGAGTTATTTCATAAATCTTATATTATCGCAATTTGGTTATTGCATTGTTGCAGAAAATATACCTGAAGAAGAAAAGTTGACGGCCGAGTTTGGAAAGAAGCCAGAAGAAAAGCTCTCCAAATGGCAGTTTTTCAGTAAGTTTATACCTAATAGTCAACTGGTCAAACTCGAAAAGTTTAGATTTTACCATTTGTTTTGCTTAAAGAAGATCCGATGTACCTACGAGTACTTTTTATCCAAATTTTTTTCAATTTAACTTGGTACTCTTAATGGAATAAGAGCAAGTTTTTTGAATGAATACTAATTTATCTTCATCATAATCATCATCATCAATAGCCCTTTACAGTCCACTGCTGGACTATGAGCCTCCTCTACTATAGTGAAGGACTTCATCATAACATAGAAATACTAATACATAGACGAGACCAGCTTCAGAAAAGTCACTGCTGTCCACTGCCAGATTACTGGAAACATTCTAGCGAATGTTGTTAAAATTCGGATTTTTTTTATCTACATCGAGGAAGCTCTTGTATTATGTATCGTTCACTGACCAATATTGCCATTCAATATCGTTTCGTCATCTTTCAGAAAACTCAAAATCCACGCAACGAGGGCTGTTCCTCGTCATGACAGCGATGGCTGCTGGCATCTTCCAGGGGATGTCAGTAATCCAGTCGTATTCCATACCGCTGTTCAGCGAGGCTGTACCGGCTGATGTACTGTCTCCAATCTGGTGCACTGCCATCTTGACTGGCCTCAATTTGGTGTCCGCTCTGGTGGCTGGGTATCTGACTGATATTGCTGGAAGAAAAGTGAGTTTAGTTCTTATTCCCCTTTTGATATTTTCCAACCCACATTCTCACAGTTACATCTCCTGTGTAACCAAGATTTATATCTCATTCACTGTAAGACAACACTCTAATAGTCTATTTATTTATTTTTCTTTTTTATGCATANTAATTTGATGTAAATAACCTATAGGTGCGCTATTAAAATCTAGAAATTTGAGTTCCCCTTTCAATTGCGTTTGTATTGTATAACTAATATTATTAATACAAACGCCGTCGATATGACACCCGACCTTGGTGCTGCTGAGCCCCTCGATCAGTCGGTTCATGTACAAGTTGAAGAGGCTTGGCGAGCTCAACCCCCCCTGCCTCACCCCGCACTCCAACGTGTACACGTCCGAGAAAGCCCCCGCCCACTTAACACTGTTCTTTTGATTGTTGTACCAATACCCAAACATTGACACGATCTCAGGCGGTATGTTTGTTTCGTTGCTTAGCTTTTCCCATAGTATGTTATATGAGACTAGGTCGAACGCCTTTGATAGGTCCAAATAGCAGGCGTAAACGGGTGTTTTTCTGTCCGTATAGTACTGGACGGTCTGCTTAAGACAAAGAATAGCGCTTTCCGTTGACAAACGTGGCCTGAACCCAAACTGAGCATCGTGTAGGTCAAGGTGCCGATTCAATTGTTTATTAAGCAGACTGTCCAGTACCTTGGCTATAATTGTAGCTAACGAAATAGGCCTGTAGTTAGACAGATCGGATACATCACCAGTTTTATTTTTTACTATTGGTACAACAATCGTATACATTAAATCATCTGGCAAATAACAATGTTTCATACATAGGTTAAAAAACATACACAAAACCCTCTGTAAATGCACACCTGCATATTTAAGATGCTCGATGCTCAGGTGTCAATAGAATGTCAATAGAATGTCAATTTTTTTTATACTTCTACCTCCTCAGCGAGACTTCAGGTGCAGTTAGGGTTGCCAGATGGCCGGGAAATCCGGGATTGTCCCGAAATTTTGCGTCTTGTCCCGTGTCCAGTAATTAGACCTTACTGTCCCGGATTTCCGAAAACCTACTAGTTTTGTGTCAAAATAAACTAATAAGTAATAACAAATGACACGGCTGGCCTGCCTGTGAGTCCTACTGACGTACATTACTTACTTATTTAATAAAAGTATGTAGGTATTTGAAAATAAATGGCTATTTTTCTTTTAAAATAGGTATAAATAGAATCATTTGAAAATAATAGAAACCAAGACATTTTTACTATGGCCAAGACCCGACACCGTTGTCCTAGTAGAATTGTTTCGGATTTGGTAAGTTTCCATCTGGCAACCCTAGGTGCAGTTCAGATTTGTATGCTCACATTTGAAATCTCGCTGACGTTTGACGTGACAAAACACCCTCCTGTGCGCTCCCATACCTCAGCTACTGACTGAGTTACGCGTTCATCATCATCATCATCATTTCAGCCATATGACGTCCACTGCTGAACGTAGGCCTCCCACAATGACTTCCACATCGTACGGTTGGTAGCGGCCTGCATCCAGCGCCTTCCTCTAGTTAAGCGTTAGACTTCTAATAATATAATTCTTAAAGAATACATTTTAGAGCAGTAAAACCACCAAGTTAAGTAATAATCGCTTTGTATAATACTGATAACTAAGCAGTGACCCACTTATTAAAGTTGCGGGAAACATCCCAAGTGTTATAATTACGGCTATAAAAGATGCAAGTTGTAGTTTAGAGACTTAGGCTGGGTTACACAATCTTACACTAACTTTAACAAACGTCAAAAATCTGACAAACTCCATACAAAAAGCAACGGCCTCTTAACCGCCTCTGTGGTTTAGTGGTAAGACCACCTGCTTCAGACGCAGAGGACCCGGGTTCGATTCCCAGTGGGGGCAGATTTTTATGTTCGGTTTGGTTGGTGGTAGGGCTTGTTCTAAGCCCGCCTGGCTAGCTACCACCATCTTACCTAAGGCTGTTGCCATAACAACAATGTTAACAGCATTGTTGTGTTCCGGCAGTTAGAGGTAAGATAGCCAGTTCCTCCGTGGTTGAGGATTCCGGGTGAAGCTCGCTTCCACCTTCGGCCTGATCGTCCATCAGGTGAGATACAGGCCAAGAGCTTCCTCGTTGTGGATAAAAAAACGGTTATCGTTATAGTTACGGTTACAGTTAGGTGGTGCAACTCAGCCTTAGTTCTAAGCTAGCTCACTTAACTGGCGCAACTTGAAGAATGCCTTTGTTCATGTTGGGAATTACCTGGAAAAAATAAAAAGGAATTATTAAAAACTGGACAAGTGCGAGTAGGATTGGCACACGAAAGGTTCCGTATAAGATGAATTGAAAACCTTGAAGAATATTAAACTCCAACTATAAAATTGTCATAATATCAAATTTTAATATGGTTTTTTTGTTACAGAGGTAAAAGAATTACTTATACCTACAAAATTTCGTTACTTTAAATTCAAAACGTGTACCTACTATCTGAGGATTCTTGTTTTATGACAGCATTTACTTTTCTCAGATATTACGTAAGAAAGTATGTATTCAAAATGCTTAGCTCTCTAGTCTAAGCTACATTACCAGAGTAAATACAAATGAGTAGGTCATCTTCATAGAAACGCACCGAGCGCGGTTTGTATGTAAGCGCGCGCCAATACGTATGCGGCGCGCACGCACACACTGACAAAATTTAGCGTGGATTAGCGGTGAGGTACGCTGAATTTTGTCAGTGTGTCTCACATGCAAACCGACCTACTCATTTGTATTTACTCTGACATTACTTTCTATTTAACTTTTATAAATAGGTAAAGCGCTTAGAAGTTAGTAGTTTTTTTTTTAAATAAGTTGTGAAACGAATCCCTGTTGAAAAAACTGTCTTCCAAAATTGGTATTTAATCATCATCATCATTTTCCATAGGTAGTAGGTATACTCGCAAAAACAATCGTCTAATTTACACACCCACGCAAACCCAAAGGAAAAGTATAGCTACAAGCTCTCTGTCGGGTACCATATAAACAAACAAAACACTGCGAATACCCGAGGCGATATTAAAAAACTTTATCTTTAACATCATGACATGTGGGTAATTTGATCTTTATTGCAATGATTAAAGGTTTTAAACTAAATGACAAAACGATATGGGAGAAGGTTGATGTGAACTTCAATAAATGTCGGAAATTTCCATTTTCATCTTGTCAAGTTTGATTTCAATTCGAAAGCTTTGAAACTTGTTTTTAACACAGATGTTTTAAAAGGCTTGAATTTATATTTGAAGCTTAACTTCTAGTAAAAGTTTTGTCGGCCATTTTATCTTGCAGATAAATATTTAATCTAAGTTGAATCAAAAATAAAATATTACACTAAGGCTGAGTTGCACCACCTTATTTAACCGTAACAATAACTATAACCGGTGCTTTTTGTGTGGAGTTTGACAGATTTTTGACGTTTGTCAAAGTTAAAGTAAAATGGTGCAACTCAGCTTATGTATTTTAATACATTAAATAGCTCAACCTTTTAGTGAAAAGATTTCAAATTATATTCTAACAAAACACTTTCCTAACATACGAAAAGGCAAAAGAAACATTACGCGATATTAGAAAACTTTACGATACAACGATATCGCATTATAGGTTCGGATAAAAACGGTCACGTGATCTTTCGCTCGGATAAATCTTAAGTAGAGTCAACAGCATTTCAAGCTTTACATTTTTATTGAAAAATAGCCTCTATTTCAATGAGATAAGACGCCTGTGTTGAACTTAATGTGATGTCCATACACAGTTATAGCCACTTTAATATTTAAGATGTTCTATCCTTGGATTAATGTCGTTTGAGAGTTTGGGACAAGTTTTGTGACGTGATTTCTTTTTTATTTCGCTAACTTTTTCCTGCGGCTTTTCCCGAGTTTTCAGTATGTCACAAATAAAATAAATCTAATCTTTTTTTTTGCGTAATTTCAGGTACATGGTCTTACAGAGATTTGGCCGATACAGTACCAACATAATAACAATTTATTCACACATAATTATCTATGTACTATCGCCCACACTTCCAGCAAGTTCCAGCTACCTGTTTCCGTTTTTTCTATCGCTCAAATCAAATGGTCATTCTTTGCAATAGAACGAGATGACATGACCGGAAATGGATAGCTGAAACTGTGGCCACTTGGATACACACACAGAGCGTTTTTATTTTATATTTAAAAGTAGAAAAACTAACTAATGTTTTTATCTGGGTCTCAAACTAAATATCTCTATATCAGATGTCATATAAGGCCCTCCGAAAATACTCAAAAATAAATGTTTAAGAGTAACAAACAAACATCCATCCTTTAAAACATTCATAATTATTTACAATCTTACCAATCGCGCGATATGGAAATCATTGGGGGAGGCTTATGTTCAGCAGTGGACTGTGGCTGAAATGATGATGATGATTTATAGTTGACTTTGAGCGATTTGGGCTCACAGCGATAAGATCAGAAGGTCATTAGGCAAAATCACCAAAGTAATGGACAGAGCCCAAAAATATAACAAAAAACCTAAGCACATAGCAGTTAGTTGACCATAATTTGACGCAAAATCATTGAGGTGGACCGACGATCTAGTGAAGGTAAGGGAAGTACCGGGATACGGACAGCGTAGGACCGGTCGTTGGGGGAGGCCTTTGTCCAGAAGTGGACGTCCTTTAGTTAAAACAAGTGGACGATGTATTCATTCATTCAATTCCGTGATTGGTAACAAAAGAGGAAAGAGGTTAAATAGATTGATGACATCAAGATGGTATAACTATGACTTTATATAGGGTGTCCTAAAAAGTAGTGTCAAGCTGAAGCCCAGAGGTAGAGCATCAATGGATAGCCATTGATGCAATTCGGATAGCCGAATCACCCCCTTGTATGTTCCGCGATTTTTGATAGTTTTCAAGTTATGATTGTTAAAATTTTTGCGCTTATACACTTTTTTTGTCACTATGGTGCGAAGGTACATGTCTGATTTTTTTTCTTAGCAATACCTTTCATCCGACTATCCTACGGAATGGTGATGGAGAAGTTATTACTTTGGGATTGCAATAATTAACTTTATGTTTGAAACCTACGTGTGTTGTGTTTGGCGAGAATACACATCAAGCCTAAAAATTGTGGCATCTTAAGCGGTTGTAATAGGTCCTATTTAACAATAAAACTAATGTCCTTCTCAAAGTACACTAATGGAAAACTGATGTCCTTTCTATAGTACACTGTACGACTGGCGTAGACTTTATGAGTTGCCATTATCTTGTGACGTGACTCGATCAGACCTTCATGGGTTAACGTGACCCTTGCAGATTTACGCCCGTATTCACAAACATTACTATGAGGTCTCACAGTTCGCGTGGACGCACACGAACCAATCACACAGCTGTGCTTTCGATTTGTTGCTTCACGTAAGCCATTATTGAATTCTACTACTATGTCTTTGTGCTACCTAAACGTTAATAAATTTCGTCATTAACTATTTTTTGTACCTATAGTTAACTCTTTATTGGCCACAGATTTTTGTTGATGAGGTGTAGTATAGGTAAAAATATATCAATTAACGGAACAGACACTTTTAATGTTAATTTTTTCCTGCCAGACTAGCTAAACCACACAGCTTAAAACTTATACTCTACGAAGCGAATTTTAGATTGAAGGTTAATTTCACTAGAATTTTAAAAAATATTTTAAGCCTGGGACATGAGAGGCAAATGAAAGGCGAAAGTCTTATAGCCAAACATGAAAATATATTTTTTTTTGGACAATTTAACACAGCGCCATGTGGCCCCTTAGTATGCAATTAATATGCATATTATTTAAAAAAGTATATAAATACTTTTTTTTAACCCATTAACGCCCAAATGAAAACTACGGTCAATTTCACATAGCCAATGTTTATTTTCTTTATAAAAATGCTTCAGAAATAATACTAAACAGAAAGAAAACCAAAAACAAAATCAGAAGTTAGATTTTCAGGGGTGTACTAAGTTTAGTACAATGGGCGCTTATGAGTCATATTGAGCAAAGCTTTCTCCATCCTGGCACAGTATTTTCAGGCACTTGCTATAAGCTGTTTTGACTCTATTGAAACGCACAGTAATTTTAAGCTGTCAAATCAGCTTCTTTGCTAGTTTATTTTGATTATAACCATTATTTCATATTTTTTCTCCATCAACTAGAGCAAGACTACCTACTTTTATTTATCTTTTATAGGTCAAATATGTGCGTACTATATATTTTCGGAATGCTAGCTGATCTAAGCGACTATAAGGGTTTACTATGCAGTGCAGTCTGCATGCATTTGAAATTGTCATGTCCACCACATAAGCGAACAAGACCCATCCACCGGTTTTTTTCCTTTTACCTCAATTTTGTAAAGTTCTATAGACTAGCCATCTGATCTAACCCACTGATCTTCTTATTATACAGTAGCTGGACACCCTGTGGTGCCTAACTTTACTGTTTTTTATCAAAAGACCCCGATAATGACCTTTCCCAATGGTTCTAAAGCATCAAAATTTGTTCCAATAGTAACCACATTATTATCCTTTCAATCAATACTAATAAAATTATGTTTGGCTTGTCGAATAAGTCTCTATGCTTTTTGTGAAAATCTTTATAAGTAATCAAAGGATACCGTTTGGTTCTGTTTTCACGTGTGGTTCCAAAAACTATGTAACTAAGTCTCTTTAGGTCGAAAAACAGGTCATAATTGGGAAAACAAAATGTTTCTTTTTGTTGTCTGTAACCCCATAAATAAAGAGCCATGTCATTGGAAAAAGAAAACAATGATTACATATAAAAACTATGAAGTAATAGGTAAACACTCTAATAATAATGTCGTTACTGTACTATTTTACGTAACGTGTCAAGCGCCCATTGTACTAAAGTTAGTACAGCATCACTTTGGGAGTTATAGCATGAAAAACTTTCCATGAAATGAACTTTTCTATGTATTTTTTATTAGGATATGTTGTTAGCTAATACACAAACAACTTATTTGGTATTTTGTGTAACTTAAACCTTGCATAAAAAATTATCAAGTACCCACTAGAAGACACGAAAAAATCACTGAAACGAAATCGCAAAATACCCCCTTAAGATTGTATAATTATGGTCTGTTTCATCTCAGGATATAATGCATAGACCTTTGTGTACCGATTGTAATTATTTCCAGAGTAAAAATACCCACTAAACCAGATTTATCGTTACTTAAAGTTGTGTACTATTTATTGTACGGCGGGCGTTAATGGGTTAAATGAAATACTGCTTTGCGCCTTGCAAACATCACACAAACACACTACAGACTCTTCTGCATATAATTATAGTTTCCACTCTCACCTGTGCGCTTTATGTACTCGTATATGTATATTGCAAAGTTTATGAGTTCAATTTCAATATAAAT